AAATAAAAGCTAGAAGCATGAGGTGTCAAGATTTCTTTATATTAAGTATGAGGTGTCAAGATTCTCTTATCCTCAAAAATGAGGTGTTGAACTATTATAAGAGTACAATTTTGGGAGCAAGAAGAACAAGTAACTAATGCAATGAATTTACCTATAAATAGTGATTGAAATGTTACCATTAGTTCCATACCAAAAATAAGAAATCTCTCTTTATACCTAATCAAGCTTAAAGATAGGAATTAAGGGAAAAGTTAGGCATAATCAAGGTGAGTATGTTGTGAGATTTACTGGGATACATACATGCTATATATCTATACTTATAATAAATAAGTAACTTGGTGACACGTGTCATCTTCTAGTGAGTCGGTTTTCTTGTTTTCCCACCTAAACACGTATCTAAACACAATTTACATTAGTGGTTCAATTAGACTCATTTGAACGTGTCTAAACACAATTTACATTAACAGTTCAATTATACTCATTTGATTGACATGTGTCCTCTTATTCAATCAATCCCACTAATTTAGGATGCAATTGATTTTATTCTTGGGTTAACTAATTCGTGTTGTAATTGATTCCCCAAAAAAATGGTGTTTATTTCTAAATGTTTAAATCCAATTTACCAATATAGTTTCATTTATAAATTCAATTTTATTCTAAATTCAATTTACTGAAAAGTTTTACTTTAGAGTTATTTCAAGAGAACAAGTTTGAAGTCATTCTTCAAAGTTAGCTCACCTGAACTCTCTGAAGTTTGCTTTTTCAGACATAGCTCACCGAACTCTGGAGTCTGAAGTCTTTTTTTCAGACGTAGAAGTCTGAATTCTGAAGTCTTTTTTTTAGACTTAAAAAAAGAAGTCTGAAGTCTTCTTTTTCAGAATTAGAAGTCCGAAATCTTCTACAATTCTGAAGAGTACAAGTCTGAAGAGTCATTCTTCAGAGTTAGCTCACCCGAATTCTTAAGTCTTCTTTTTCAGATTTAGCTCACCCAAACTTTAAAGTCTGAACTCTGAAGTCTTTTTTTTCAGACTTAGAAGGTTGAACTCTGATTTAATTGGATTGATTTTATACTTCAGAGTTATTTCCAGAGTACAAGTCTGAAGAGTCATTCTTCAGAGTTATTTTCCAGAGTACAAGTCTGAAGAGTCATTCTTCAAAGTTAGCTCACCCGAACTCTGTAGTCTTCTTTTCCATCGGAGCAACATGCAGAGCCTCTGCATAGTGTATGCAGAGCTTCTAGCTTGCCTATACAGAGCAAAGTCATTCTTCAGAGTTATACTTCAGAGTAATTTCAAGAGTACAAGTCTTGTAATAAACTTATCTAGACTTTGAAGATAAGTTTTTAAGACTTAAACTTAGTCTTGTAAGCCTCTGGTTGGTCTGGCTTCTGGATGGCTTTGCTTCTGTTTGTTTATTTGAACCTTGAAAAAATATTCCAATCCATCATAAAGGAACCAGAGTGGCTCTGGTTGATTTTCATGTTTAACGAGAAGGTCTCTGGTTGTAATTGGAACTCAAATTCTTTAACATTCTTTTTGACCTAGAGGCTCTGGATAGACGAACCACAGGCTCTGGATAGACGAACCAGAGGCTCTAGTTGACCAGAGGGCCTTTGGTTGGCCTTGCTTTTGGTTGGTAAGTCCACAGGGGCTCTGGCCAGAGGAGCTTTGGTTGGTCTTGCTCTGTATGATGCAAACTTTACCATGGGGTCTTTTTCAAAGATATTGGGTATTTGAATAACTCTGAACTCAAGGTCTTCAGGCTTCGTCTTCAGATTTGACACAGGCACCCTGCTAAGTTTAAATTCAATTTACTGATATAGTTTCATTTCTAAATTCAATTTTATTCTAGGGTTAACTTCATTTTAACTAATTATTGATATAGTTTCATTTCTAAATTCAAGTCTGAAGAGTCATTCTTCAAAGTTATACTTCAGAGTTATTTCAAGAGTACAAGTCTGAAGTCATTCTTAAGAGTTATTTCAAGAGTACAAGTCTGAAGTCATTCTTCAAAGTTATTTCAAGAGTACAAGTCTGAAGAGTCATTCTAAAGAGTTAGCTCACCTGAACTTTGAAGTCTGCTTTTTCAAACTTAACTCACTCGAACTCCGGAGTCTGAACTCTGAAGTCTTCTTTTTCAGACTTAGAAGTCTAAACTCTAAAGTCTTTTTTTTTTAGACTTAGAAAAAGAAATCTAAAGTCTTCTTTTTCAGACTTAGAAGTCTGAACTCTGAAGCCTTCTACAAGTCTGAAGAGTCATTCTTCAGAGTTAGCTCACCCGAATTCTGAAGTCTTCTTTTCCAGACTTGGCTCACCCGAACTCTGAAGTCTTTTTTTTAAGACTTAGAAGTCTGAATTCTGATTTAGTGGTATTGATTTTATACTTCAAAGTTATTTCAAGAGTACAAGTCTGAAAGGTCATTTTTCAAAGTTCGCTCACCCGAACTCTGAAGTCTTCTTTTCCAGACGGAGCACCATGCAGAGCCTCTGCATAGTGCATGCAGAGCTTCTAGCTTGCCTATACAGAGCTCTGAAGTCTGAGTAGTTTTACTTCAGAGTTATTTCAAGAGTACAAGTCTGAAGAGTCATTCTAAATTTACTTCTAAGTTTAAATTCAATTTACTGATATAGTTTCATTTCAAAATTTAATTTTATTCTAGGGTTAACTTCATTTTAACTAATTATCGATATAGTTTCATTTCTAAATTCAAGTCTGAAGAGTCATTCTTCAGAGTTATACTTCAGAGTTATTTCAATAGTACAAGTCTAAAGTCATTCTTCAGAGTTATTTCAAGAGTACAAGTCTGAAGAGTCATTCTTAATTTACTTCTAAGTTTAAATTCAATTTACTGATATATAGCTTCATCTCTAAATTTAATTTTATTCTAGGGTTAACTTCATTTTAACAAATTATTGATATAGTTTCATTTCTAAAATTCAAGTCTGAAGAGTCATTTTTTAGAGTTATTTTTCAAAGTTATACTTCATAGTATTTCAAGAATACAAGTCTGATGTAGCATCGTACTTTCGATGATCATTCATATCTGTAAGATAAGTTCCTGACATGATTTAATTTTTTCAAATTACCCCGTGTAATAAACGGGATCAAACCTAGTATGTATATATATATATATATATATAAATGTTTTACGCATGAAAGAGTATTGCCATATCTTCTTGTAAAAGTTATGTTATGATCATGTGGCAAAGTACACCTTTTAGGTCATGTTGCACAAGTGGTATATGAAAGTTTTTATACATGTTAAGTATAACCATTTAAATATCCAACGTACGGGATATATAAAGAAGGTACGTCTTGCAAACAGACATTACTGGACAGCCCTTATGTCGACCCGAGATTAACAGACATTGCAAACCTGTGAGAAGTTGGTTTACTTAACATGCAACCATGAGATCTCAAAGAAATGTATACAAGAAAATTTAATAAGAATTATTTTAACTATTTGGAAAGAATGTTTTACCATGAAACCATAACTACTCACTAAGTTTAAAGCTTACGTATTCATGTATGTATCTCAGGAATCAAGGAGTAGGAACAAGCTGAAGTGTTGCTATTCTAAGATGTTAGAATGTTATAAGTTGTAAATTTCCACATTTCCGCTGTTGTAATAACTCTATTATAATGAAATAAAAGTTTAAGATATGAAGTTTCTTTCATTCACTTGTACTGAGGGCAAAGGACGATACCCCCGGGAACGGGATGTCACAGCTTCACTAATTGAAATGAACAATTAGTATGATTTTGACAACTATGTAAAATATTTACATGAATAATACCTCAAGGAAGCTTCCTAAGAGAAGAACAATAATAGGCCTACCGCTAACCCCAATCACACTTTTCACCATAGAAATAAATAAATAAAAACTACCATCTCCTCGTATGTTATATGTTTTTCATATCAGTTTTCACTCCTAATAATGCAATTTAGAATACTATAAAACAAAAAAATCAATGTGTGTAACAATGCTACATATAATACATGCATGTTAGCTAAATGAATTGATGTAATGTATTGCTAGGATGACTAGTGGCATAAATTTTGACAATCACAGCATTCCAATAGGAGAAATCTTGAAACCATATATCATGTTAGGATTTATTCACAGAAAATTAGTGAAAACTACGCACATCTTATGATTTTAATTAAAGTATAACCACCATGTAAGGCCCCAGGTCGCAGCTTTGACTCTAAGCATGCCCATTGGGATCAAATAAAATTTAAGTTGTTATACACACTTTCTCATTCTAAAGAAGGCAGAAGTTGAAAAAAAAAAGAATTTTAAATGCTTGCCAACAAGAAATGTGTCTATATTATCTAGAGATCGACTTGAGTGTTGCAATTTATGGCTCTTAGAGTTTCATTAGCTCAGTCCCTCACAGTTTGAGTACAAGGGTGGTAGAAGTCCTTTCATCACCGTTTCTTGCATCATTCACATTTGGGCTATGAGTATCTCGTTCATGAGCTTGAAAAGACATCTAATATTAAGTTACAACAGTTCAAAAGGCTATTGGTGGTCTCCATGTGCTCCATGACATACATGGTACTCAAATAAAGCTAATGATGATGATTGCAGGTATCCAAAAGTGAAAATCGAAGTCAATAAGGATGTATCCTTGGAAAGACTGCATCTAATTCAGATATTTAAAACAAACTCTAATGAAGAAGTTTAGACGTAGAAATGGAATCAAAGACATTTGTAACTGCTTCATAGTATATGCAAGCCTATATAACAAGGTCTACATTCCAGAGTGAAGTTTCACATGCTTCAACTTTTTAATCTGTTCATTGACTTTATTTTCAATTTGTTTCCTGACGATCGTTTATTTCATTTGGTTTTCTATTTTAAATTACAATAAGATTGATGGCCACAATTCAAGGTATCGGCAACATAGAGTTTTACAACTACACAACAAACAGTTGCAAATTTTCACCATATATCTAGCGTAAAAATGAAAAGATAATGAGCAAATATACACACCTAGAAAACCACAAGCCACCGCATTTATGTAACTTCGAGCTTCAATGGAATCAAGACCAAGCACAATAATACTGAATTCACTGTAAAATTCAAGCTCTTTGTCCTCAATTCGACAAAAATGTGGCACAATATTTACGCCGCTAACTCTTTCCATCACACGTTTAGCAGCCACTTCTGCTTTTGGCTTCCCAACATCCTCAAGCCTGAAGTTAGAATGAAGATGATAAAAAGTTTTTCTTTATAGATAAAAGCAATAGAAATACAAAACATAAGTATGTTCATAATAAAGTGTTGAGCGTTAAGACAAAATAGCAAGTATGCAATAGTTTAGGGACCTACAAGATAAATTGTGCAACTCATATATTCTACTATGAAATAATCAAAAGTGTAAGTCGAGACAAAATACAGTACGGTATTGGCTCCAAAAATAGAGCGGGAATAGGAGACATGAAGCCAAGTAGCCGACGTGAACAACTGAACTGAAATCACCATTTCAATCGATCAACCCTCCTGTATGCCATTAAATTGTTATGCTTTCATGAAAACCCTTTATGAAGAAGCCCTAATTCTAAAGATTCCAAGGTTTTTTGACGACTAACCCTTTTTAATTGCATTTGGTATCAGTTTCGAATTTTCTATGTGTTTTACGAGGATGGAGAAGCTTTTTGGAAAGTTAAATGAGAACTATGTAAAAGTATTGCTAAAATTGGTAAAGCAAGCAGAGGTGTCAGCTACGACATCAGGAACACAACAACCTCAGAGACCTAAACTTCTTCCAGTAGACGTAAAGCTCAATGAAACCAGCCACATATTTGAGCTGGTCAAGATGGATTACTGGTGCAACTTTCACTCTACTCCTTATAGTTGTTGCAGATCCAAATTGCCCTTTTGCATCAATATAGGGATCTAGCTCTTGTCTCAACTTATCATTCTCTTCTTCATTGGGCACAAGTCGAATTTCTCTTTGATGGTGATGGCATTGAGTGCTCGATAATCCACACAAAATCTCTAGGTATTGCCCCTTTTTCCCCCAGTTTTAATCTCTCTATTCATCTCAATCGTGTCGGTATTTGGTCAATAATATATGGCAGGATTAAGGTAATTTCCCAATGTACATGTACTAAACAGTTAATACCAAATCAATGAATTAACTTAAAAATTAAATATATTCACCAAAATGGTGTTTACCCGTATGTAAACATGATGAAGTTGGGCACTCCATCGTGCCTGGAACATAGCCCACACTCTTGTTATTAATCTTCCATGAGTAGTGCCGGTAAGATTCTTTCTTGATTTGCTCCTTGGCTTTGTCCACAGCATCATAAATATATCCCGTGCATGCCTCTATTCTATATCAACCAATCCAACCACATCAACTAAAGGAGCCATTACTTGACATGAAATAAAAAAATTGTCCCAAAATCAGATTTGGCAACTGTCCCTTAATTCCTTTTCCACAAGCTTTCTTGCCAAAATCACTTTTTGTCCATTGCTCAGACATGAACAAAACTTGAATGTGATGTCGATTTTCACAATTATTCTTAATTCTATAGAACTGTGTTGCAAACCTCGTTACACACATGTGCAACTCTTTGTTGTTTGTCAATTTCCGCGACATATAGAGAATCCTTCTGTGGTTATACATATATAGATCACAACTGCTCTCGCCTCGGCCAAAACATGTTTTATTTTAAGGGATCTTCTCGCCAAAATCTCCTAACAAGAGATTCACACAGTGTGTTGCACATGGCATACAAAACAACTTGGGATGTTTTTCCAAAATCTTTCCCACGGCTTTGAAATTTGAGCCATTGATGGTAACAAAAATAGAAAAGGGAAATTAATGATTCACAACTAGCAACAGTTATCTCATAACCAAAAATGTTGCTACCTGCACTATGTTCAACCAACGAACATCTTCGATCACATCATCAATCATTTTTAACAATCAATCGGGCATCCTTTACATGCTCCGACACATCAATTGATTTCAAGAAAACAGTTCCAACAAGACCATTAACCAAAAATTTAATCAAAAACGATGTTTCCCATTTGTCCAAAAGTCAGACATGATGGTGCAATGGTATTTATTCCAATGTGGCCTAAGGGAATCCACAAACTTCCTAGTATCCGCTAGAACATCCTTAAGCAAGGTTACCAGGATGTTGTGATAACTTGGCGTCGGCATACCTATCATTGGCATAAAGTGAAGTATCACAATTAAATAAAGCTTCACGATTAAAAATATTAAACTTTCTACTTAGTGACTACTCTTCCATATTTTCCGATTGCATCGATTACATCCTGAAAGCTCTTACCCCGCACGACATTAATCGGTAACCCAACCAAGTATGACCATATAACAAATTTCTTCCAAGCATTCATTTTCAACTTCTCTTTTATTGTGTCATTTTTGTTCAATATGACTTGTTTCATCTTCTCATAATTAGGCTTGAACATGGTGTCAAGAGGACCCTGAACGTCACTAACCCCCTTTCTTTCCCTTAGTTAAATAATTAGAATTTTCAACATCCAACTCGTATGTCATCTTCTTGATCATCATCCCCATCTTCACTGTCAATAGAAATTTTTTGAAGAATTACAAAGTTCCTTTTCTTGTCCTTTTTATCTTTTTCATTCATACTCGCAAGAACTTTTTTCTTAATCTACGTAGGTCACGTTTGGACAACCCATCACTTATCCTCCCGTATGAGTAAGGTGATGTTTTAATCTTGTGATCCCTCCATATATTTTCTTATCACACACACCAAATATTCCCCTTTTTGTTGGATCTTTCCAAACTCCCCATTCCCATGCCATATCACCATTTATGCATCTTGTACCTGTGTTGGATGCAGTTTATTGGTGGTGTACGGGGTGGTGAACGCAACCACCTTCCATGCTAAACTCTTACTGCCCTATAAAAAATATACATGATGCACAAAATCTAAACAACAAAAAAATAACAATTAACAAAGCTAAACCTAAAATTAAATGGTTAAACAGGAAACCGAACGAAGTCGGAAACGACAGCTAATGTACTGAATTAGGGACCAAACTAGGGAGTACGGACAGAAACAGAAACCATTCCTGATTGGTTGATTGTAACTTGTAAGTGTTAGTTTTCAACAGTTGGGAGAATCAAAGATGAACAGTAAATCGAATTAGTAGGAATGGTCGAGCAGAGTCAAACAGCTGTGAAATCCAGCAGGAAACGAGCAAGAGCTATGGAATCGATTCTTAATCGAGCATGTCAAGAGTCAAGACTGGAGTGTTTGAGACTGAGTGTGGACTCGAGCAGGAGAAAACCCATGGAACCATGGAATCAAGAAGAAAACTCGAGTTGTTCAAGCTTTCTGGACTTGGAATCGATGAGCAGAGCTCTGGTCTCGAAATCGATACCAATTTTTGACCTACTTTAATTGTTTCTTTTGTTGATTTAATCAGTTTCGTTTTTGTTTGCAGGCCTAAGTTTGACTCCAAATAGCCCACATAAAAGCCCAGATAGAGTCGTTTAAAATTTAAATAAAAAAGGAGTCTAAAACAGCCCAAAAAAGCACCAAGTGCGACTGCTATTTGGTATCAAAACTGCGGTCAATAGCAGCCACTATTTGTGGTGCCACTATAATACACCACAATTCATAGACTGCTATTTAGTCCAAGACCTCTAACTGCTATTTCGCCGCTATACTGCACTATAAACTGCATAGATTACAAGTATAGTCAGACATATGGCATTGATTACAGTGAGACCTTTGCACCGGTCGCAAAGATGAGCACCGCTTGGACACTTGTCTCTATTGTTGTGAATAGTGAATGGCAATCGCACCAACTCGATGTGAAGAATGCGTTTCTTCACGAGGATCTACTGGAGGAGGTTTACATGGAGATACCCCCAGGCTTCAACACCAACCAATGGGCACAGTATGTAGGCTGAAGAAGTCATTGTACGAATTGAAGCAGTCTCCTCGAGCTTAGTATGATAGATTCAAGAGGATTATGGTAAGCATGGGCTATGCAAGCCAACGTTGACCATACCTTGTTCTTCCATCATAATAGAGGCCATACTACTATGCTAGCAGTTTATGTTGATGATACGACGTGAACCAGTAAATCAAGAGAGATATCAGAGGTTAGTAGACCAGCTGACTTACCTGAGTCACACTCAACCTGATATCTCGTTCGCAAGTGGTGTGGTGAGTCACTACATGCATGATCCAAGAAAAGGCCGCATGGATGTAGTTGATCACATCATAAGATACTTGAACAGTGCTCCTGGAAAGGATTGATGTCAATCAATATTCTCAATATTTGTACCTTGTTCAATATGCCTTAGGCTTGAGTCCCAGCTCCGATAGGAGTCCAAATCAAAAACAATGGTCAGCTAGGTATTGAGGCTTGCAACGATTTTGACTGGGTGAGGTGCACCAATGACATAAGATCCACCTCACGATATTGCGTCATTGTGGGAGGTAACTTCGTCTCTTGGTAGAGCAAGAAACAATCTATGGTGGCGTAGTATACAGCTGAACCCGAGTATAAGGTCATGGCCTTGGGAGTTTGCAAGTTGTTATGGTTGAAGGCTCTTCTGGTTAAATTGAAGATGGACCAAGGTACTCATATGAGACTCTTGTGTGATAACGAATCGACAATCATCATCACCAACAGCCAGTGCATCATGATAAAACCCAGCACATTGAGATTGATAGGTTCTTTATTAAGGAGATGCTGGATAGTGGACTATTGAAGATAACTAATGTTCGGACAGAGGATCAAGTGGCAGAAATGTGACAAGATGGGCTTAGTGAATATTTTTGCCAATCTTGAGGGAAGTGTTGAGTGTTAAGACAAAATAGTAATTATGTAATAATTTAGGGACCTATAAGGTAAATTGTGTAACTCATATATTCTCCTGTAAAAAAATGAAAAGTGAGTCGAACAAAATACAATACAAAGGAAGGGAGAACATATCAAATTCAATTTACAGATTCTAGAACCAATTATAATAACCAATCTGATGAATTTTACTTTTTTGGGATTAGTGAGAAGACTAGATAAATGATCCTCAAACTTCATATGGCAAACACTCTTGTAGTTGTGCTTACTACCTATCCTATTTACATGCAGTCCCTGTCAAGTTCCTTAGCTTTGCCATCTATGAAGTGTTGAAAATGACCTATAGCAGTAAGGTTTTGGTTCCTTGAAGCTTTTCATGACAGAAAAGGAAAAGGAAAAAAAAAGACCTACTGGATTGGCAAACCATTTTTAGGCCTCTATGACAGGAGTAAATTTTCATCGATAAAACGCAATTTCTACAACAAAAGATTTTGCCACCTCTTCCGAGTTTCTTGATACATAGTTTAATCGTGGACATTAATAGTTTAATCGTGGACATTAATCATTTGACTGCATTGGATAGTATCAACTATCACGAGATCCGGAGTAACTCAACCGATCAGCGGACTGTGTGACACCCTAGTTCTATATTTGTTAGATTTAAATTTTTTAAGCCTTAAATACGAATATTATGAGCAAATTAAGTGCACTAAAATGTTCCAGCAGCTGTATCATCAATAAAATCATCATACTTTCAATGCAAGTAGCCTACAGGTAGCTTACAATGCAAAGCATGAGAAATCAACCCTAAATAGATGACAAAGGAAGTCTAGTAAGCATGATAAGCAAGCTAGTTATGAGTTGTAAAGGCTAGAGTATGTGTTGGCAAAGCTATTTGATGACAAAGCAAGTCTAGTGATCATGATAAAGCAAGCTAATTACGAGTTGTAAGGGCTAGAAATCAGTGTTTGCAAAGCTACTAATGAGAAAGCAAGTCTAATAAGCATGACAATTAAATGCTAGAAGCATGATGTGTCAAGATTCTTTTATCTTAAGCATGAGGTGTTAAACTCTCATAAAAGTACAACTATGAGAGCAAGAAGAACAAGTAGTTAATGCATTGTATTAACCTATAAATAGTGGTTGAAGTGAAACCATTATTTCCATACCAAAATAAGGAATCACACTCTCAATACATTACCACGTTAGAAGTAAGAAATCCAAAGAAAAGCTAGGCGTAATCATGGTGAGTATTATGAGATTTATGAGATACATATATGCTATATGAATGGATTTTATGCATTATGAAGAATTTAATAGGATGTTTGGCATGTTTGCTTTACTTGAAATGAGGATATGTTTATATAGCCAAGATGTATGTATGATGGCATGTCATGACATGTTTTACACATAAGGCATGAAAGTTTTATGCATGTTATGTACGACCATAAATATCCAATGTACGGATTATTACATGAAGGGACGTCTTGCAAACAGACCTTATGGGGCAGCCTTTATGGACCCCGGGGTTAGCAAACCTCAAGGCATGTATGGCATACTTACATGTTGCAACTGAGATCTCGAAAGAGTATTTTTATGTATGAAAACGAGTTTTAGTGAATTATTATTCACAAATTGATAAGTATCATGAAAATTGTTTATTCATGAAACCATAACTACTCAATAAAGCTTTCGACTTACATATTTCATGTATGTATCTAAGGGAAGGAGTAAAGAGGAATTGCATAAAAAGTAGTATTGTTCTAATAAATTGCAAAAAATTTGTTGCATTATAAGCTATTGAGTTATGTTTCCGCTAGCGTCTGAACTCTAATGTAATCATAAGCTATGAAAGAAATAAAGTTAAATTTCCAGTTCACATGCAAGACTTAGTAGTAATGGCACACATTTAGGATATGGGTCGTTAAGACCGATGCCTTGAAACGGTAACATACTGTTTTGTGTATGCATAGTTCAGTTGATGCCAATTTGATATCATGGAACCAATTTCAAGGTAATAAGAACGATGGATAAACAAATGATTTGAAAAAATAAGCCTAATATTTTCTCATTGGCTCTCACAACATATGCTGGACATGGACTGCCGATACAGTGGTAACTGTCATAACTTTTTATATAAGGGGCGAGAAAAGAGCGCACAAAAAGAGAAGTGACCTTAAACAATGATAGCCAATGGCATAATGTATAACGAAACGATTCACTCATCACTCTTACAAAAGAAATTCAGTATCTATAAACTGAAAATGGAAGTAGACACTCTAACCACAACGAACAGGTTGAGCATTGATTTATCACACATCGGCTTTCAATATTAAACCATCATGTATCATTATTCCTGCCATTTGTCTGAAAGTAATTCAAACCAAAGCTTTTTCACCATATACCATACTTGCTTTCAACATCAGCAACATACTTGACCAAAGTTTAAGCTCAAAAGGTTCTACCCATGTACATTATTTCCCATGTGCACATTCTAATCTTGGATGGTTCAACCTTATTTGCTGTCTCCCTATCCCATAAAAAAGTCCACCTATAATTCTAGAGTTTAAAACATGGTATTTTCAATTTTAAATTTGAGAGATTTCTTATTTCCAAAATGTTCACTCTAATAAACGTTACCCTTGAATGAAGTTTTACACTTTGTCCTACATAACCATAATCAACTATGCGTGTAGAGCAAACATGTTCGTCTAAGCATGTGACTGTATCCAGGTATATAAATATATGAAATGCAAATACACATACCTGAAAAGAAATTGCCGATTAAGGTTGGATACTTCAATTCTGTCCATATCTATAACTTCAAGATTCTTAAAACCAGATAGTGCGAGGTCTTTTAGCAGTTCACATCCCAATCCACCAGCACCAACAACCAAAATTCGCACATACTTTTGAAGATCGTCCCTCAACTTCACAAAATCAAAGAACATATACGTAAGTACCTAAAATTTGTGAATAAAATAAATAAAGGATGCAGTGGATTCCGCTAACTATTTGTATAAATTTTGAATAGAGAAGGATAGTCTAGTTACTTCGGTGCCTGGTTCGAAGGCGGGACCGACGAGATGCCCTGGCCTGAGAAGAAGCTTATCAAGGTCCCTTGATCTGCTGCTCTGTTGAGTAGTAGCGTCCGCCATTAGAGAAACTCTCGATCGGAGTGGTACAGTGTGCTGAAATTTGCGAAACCGGGGAACGACACCCCCCACAAACTGGTACGGTTAGGGGTTCGCTGGAAGAGGGAAACAGTCGGGAGCTTGGCTTTTACGCCCGGTTTGCGTTTGGTTTTTTTTAGTAGTAATCTATACTTCTATACTATATTAAAATAAAGTAAATGGAGTGTCATTTGTCATCTTCTGCAAGTCGGTTTTCTTGTTTTTCTACTTAAAAATATATTTAAACATAATTTATGTTATCAGTTTCATCAGACTCATTTGAATGTATCTAGACATAATTTACATTAGCAGTTCAATTAGACTCATTTGATTGACATGTATCATCTTATTCGATCAATCCCACTAGTTTAGGATGCAATTGATTTTATTCTTGAGATAATTAATTCGTATGGTAACTAATTCCCGAATAAAATGGTTTAATTCGTATGGTAACTAATTCCCGAATAAAATGGTGTTTACTTCTAAGTTTAAATTCAATTTACTGATATAGTTTCATTTCTAAATTCATTTAATTCTAGGGTTAACTTCATTTTATTCTAAATTCAATTTACTGAAATTTTTTACTTCAGAGTTATTTTAAGAGAACAAATCTGAAGTCATTCTTCAGAGTTAGCTCAACTGAACTCTAAAGTCTGATTTTTCATACTTAACTCACCCTAACTTTGGAGTCTAAACTCTGAAGTCTTCTTTTTCAGACAGAAGTATGTTGATCTCAACCGGATCTACAACAATTTATAGGTGATCAGTTTGTATAATGGGGGATGAATACAAACACAGAAACTTTCACTTCTAAAATTATATATTGATAAAGAAGGGTCAATACAAATTTTACAGATTATTTGCAAAAAAGATAAGGTAAAGAAAATTTTATCTAAGCAATCTAGAGGTACACACAAATACAGTTGGCAAATAGAAAAGATTTGCCGAAAGAAAGTATGACTTAGAAATGTGTTATTCACTTTCTAGAAATGGTTCTTTCTCTTTAGAGAGAGGGAGTAGAGAGATAGGTTTCTTCTTGGGTATGCTTCTTAGAATTTGAAAGACAAATTATAATTGTTTCGCATTTTCTGAGTGGAGAGCACTCAGCTATTTATACTCATTGCATTAAATGCAATTCAGAAGGCACACAACACGTATCAAGCTTTTAGAGAAAAGTTTGTCCTTTGCTACAGTGAATAGTTTTTTTGTCTATTCATGAGCAGACATCCTTTCATAAAGTTGGTGAGCACTAGAGTCAACTAATTGGCTTCGTACTATACTATGCTCTAGAAAAGGGTATGGGTTTGTCCTTAGTTTGTGGAAGAACAAGACAAAAACAAACGTGCATGAGAAGCTTCAATTGATCGCTGAATGCTGGGATAACGCTTGAGGTCTCTTTAGCATTCGCTGAGACTTGTGCCGTTTTCACACATATGCGTACTAGTTTGTAATCACTGAATGTCGCTTTAGATCACGAACACGCTAGTCTCTAATCTTCACTTTCTGTCTTCGACATTGTTGAAGGTTCTTTTATGTGAGTTTTGTCTTCTTGAAGTATAAGAGTCACTGGAGAGTTACAATGCATGTTTCAGCGATCACTGAAGAGACTCAGTGATAATCGTTGAAACTGAATAAACAGAAACACTATACTTCGATAAGAAAAAGAGATTATCATCAAATCAATGAGAGAGGATCAACAATCTCCCCGCTATTTGGTGATGACAAAGCAACATAAAGAAAATTGCTTAAGGTATAATAGTAAGGAAAAATTACAAGTAAAGTATAAGTCCCTTTTAACTATTTTTGGGATCTTTTTCAGTAATACAATTTTCTTATACAAATGTTCTTAAGTTACAAGTTTAAGAGAAACAAGTATAAGAATGATAATTGAAACTGAAAGCATGTTTACTAGCTGAAGGTTGTCAGTAATGTAAGAGCAAATTGGAACTCATAGATACATGTCCGTATGACTCTTTTCAGGGATCTTTTCAGTGATACTGGTGAATACTTATATTATTCATTGGAAAGATACAAATGTTACAATAGTAAGTTATGGACCTATTACATATAAGTTGTACATTGAAAGAAAAAATATAGAAAATAAGATTTACAAGATAGAAAGTCTTTACTACTCTAAGTTGCTGAAGTCGATGTAACCAGATACTTCTTCTCCAAGCTTCTTTCCTCGTAGAATTTCCTTTCTGATCATGTGGTCCATTGTCTCACCATATAGGTCAGTGTCCAACCAAGATCTTAGAAATTCAAGGTGTTCTATTGGACAGAGACGGAATTCAGATACTCTTTGAAAGTTATATTCTCCATCATAGTTAATGAATATAAATCCATACTCAGACTTGAAGTGCACAGCGTTGGGTAAGTAAAGACCCTTCGCTGGTAGAGAGAGGTTCAACATAGAGATATTTGACTTATTCGAATCCTTTAGGATTTCTTATAAGGAGAATCGTGGTTCATGTTCATTCTTCAGAGTTGGTCCATCATTAGGATCTGAAGGTTTTCTTCTTCCACCTTGCATCAATGTTGGTACTGAAGGAACAACAGCATGCCTGCACATCTTCTTGATAAGATCATTGAGGATGTCTTCGATAGTTTGCTTGTGCCTTTGACTTTGAGCGCTGAATGGCTTGGTGTATTTCCAGCCATTCACTGTAGCCGTAAAGGTAGGAAGGGTATTTAGTGACAGCATCAAAGTTGTCTCTGGTGATGACCATAGAGATGAGCATTCCTCCATCTTTCATTCGTCCACTAATTGTGACATTTGTGATGCGATGGGGACTTATTTTTTTCTTCAAGCGATCTTCGCTCCATCTTTTGTGATAGTATTTCAGCGTCAATGCTCTCTTATGTTCAATTTCAGCTTGTGAGAGCAACTGAGCCTAAGCCTTGACAGGGTTCATCTTCTTTGACTTTCCTTTAGAAAGAACTTTAACGGAAAGTGACTTGGCCAGCTTGAGAATGTCTCCAGTCTATTGTCGTTGAATACGAAGTTCTTCCTCGGCCTTGACTGCTTCCTCTCTTTTAGCTTCTGTGAGGAAGTCGAACTCACCACAATCAGAGGTACGAATAGGAATTTTTACTCTAGTTTGGTTGAGGGACTCCCTCAGCTGAGTCATCTGTTGGTCGAAAAGAGCTCCAGATGTTGGGATAGGAGATATCCTTTCATCTAGACGACCACAGGTTATAGAAGAGGAGATAGTAGAGAGTTGAGAATAAGAGGTAATGGTAGCAAACCTAGAACACTAAGCAATCCTTAAAGGATTGATAGGTCTGAAAAGAACAGCCAGGTTTCCATCTTCAACAACACCTTTGTTTTTGGAGAAAGTGTTCTGGTTCTCTGTAGATTTCTCTTTCTCCCCCGGGATGAAGATTCCCTAAGAGAGACTCCTTTTTTAGCGGGAAGAGGTTTCGCGTGGAACTGAATGGTGAAGTCATCATCATCGTTGTCTTCTGTTTCATCATCATCACCTAAGTCTTATCCAGCATCGGGCAAGGAAAGAGAATCATCAGCTTCATCATCTTCTTCTTCATCTTTCTCGTCAACAACAACAGCTATAGAGGTGATGGGAAGGTCTTTGTCTTCAGCAACAATTATGACGACATCATCCTCAGCTTCAGCGACTACTTTAGCTACATGGGATATGATAGCATCCTCAAAGTGAGGGATAATAATAGGTTCTACAACTTTAGCATCAACTTCTTCTGCTTGAGACCTTTCATCTAACGCGTTAGCATCAACAAGTGTTGTAGGAGCAGCAACACGAGGTAAGTCTTTCTCCCCCTTTTCAGAGTTAGCTCACCTGAACTCTGAAGTCTTCTTTTTCAGACGGAGCACCATGCGGAACCTTTCCATAGTGCATGCAGAGCACCATGTAGACCTTTGCATAGTGCATGCAGAGCTTCTGACTTGCCTATACAGAGCTTTGAAGTCTGAAGAATTTTACTTCCAGAGTTAGTTTAAGAGTATAAGTTTGAAGTCACTCTTCAGAGTTATACTTTAGAGGTATTTCAAGAGTAGAAGTTTGAAAATCCATTCTAAATTTGCTTATGAGTTTAAATTCAATATACTGATATAGCTTCATTTCTAAATTTAATTTTATTCTAGGGTTAACTTCATTTTAGCTAATTATTGATAGTTTCATTTCTAATTTCAAGTCTGAAGAGTAATTTTTCAGAGTTATACTTTAGTGTTACTTTAAGAGTACAAGTCTAAAAGAGCATCGTAGTTTCGATGATCATTCATATATGTAAGAAAAGTTTCCTGACATGATTTAATTTTTTTAAATTACCCCGTGTAATACACGGGATCAAACCTAGTATACTTCTATACTTAGAAATTCACTCCTACTCCCACGTCTTTCATAGGTTAAAAATCAAATCCTTTTAATTTTTAAATTACACTTTATACTCTTATAATTGGTTATTTGATTTACTTTATATTTTTTATATTTTCATTTTTCATTTTACACTTTTATAATATTAACATCAACATTGTATATAAACTAAAATGCAATGAAAAATATGTTTCTTTTTTTAACAACTTATATCATTAGAATTGTGTCATCAATACCTTCAAAATGAGTTCAGTATTGAATATTTTTGAATTTAATCATTCTATTAAATATCATTAATACCTATGAATTAATTTGTTTTATATCTCTTACGTTTTCAGTTTAAATTTTACACCTTTATATATTAAAAATGCATATCGTAGGTTAACAAAAATAAATTAAAAATCGTTTCTTTTTTATTACAAATTATATCAGCATAATCATCTCATCAATCTATACTATATTATAAAATTTGACAAAAACTTTTAAAACCAATTTTTTATACATGAAGTACTGTTTATCGATGCATATTACTTAAAATTCATGATTACAAGTAAATTGTGCATAAGTACAACTTATTAAAGCTCCATGCTTGAATTCGTGTAACTAACTGCAGATAAACATAATCAAATACAAGATGAACATTTCATTTTAAATATAAAAAATCTAAAATATAATTAGGATAATAATTGAATTCTAGCAGAATACTTAATTATTATCCTTATAAAAAATATATTATTAAATCAAAATAATTACTTCGTTATTA